GTCCTGCCTCCAGCATGACTGCACTGTTGCAGAGTTGTGAGAACTTTCACAATTCTACCAGTCTCTAGGGGCCATGGGTGTGTGGATCTAACTTGACCAACCTATAATTTTCTGCCAAGCTCTAAAAACAGCCTTTATATCTTTGTCCACTAAACATGGTCAGCAGTGACATCACATGGCACTTGTTAATATTAAAAAAAAAAAAAAACACCTCAGGCCCCACCCTAGGCCATCTATGACTCACGTACAATAAACGTTTCAAACAGTAGTTGTTACATATTTTATATCCACTGAACTTTTCAACCCCTAAGACACATCATACACCCTTCACTGCACAGCTATCCCCTCTCTTTGTTAAGACACTGTACAATTTGCAATGCCATACACTATGGTAGGGACACCTAACACAGAGCATAAATACTTGAATGAATGGAGCTTCAGACCTATTAATTAATGGAAAAGTTTACTTAGGGACTTGGAAACTGTCAATCAAATGTAACTCAAGCAGGTGTGGTACTTATGCCTATAATCTCAGCACTTGGACTGAGACTGAAAGATTACCATGAGTTGAAAGCCAGTGGGGGCTACATGCTACTATTCAGGCCTGCCCACAGAAAGACTTCAGAAAGAAAAAATGAAAAAAGAAAAATAATTGGGAATGGGACAAGAAAAGGAAAGGAAGGTAGAAAAGAAGGGAGGGAAGGGAAGAAAAGGAAATAATAGCTCAGAATCCAAAGTGAGTTAAATTGTAAATAATTTTCATGTAGTTTCAACAGGCTGCAGGTTTACAGTGATGGATAGTGAGATCACCCAGGTTTGGCTTGTATAAAGGGCTATGTGCCAAGCCATGGGAATGCTGACACAGAAAGCAGTGAGGGACAAGTCAACTGGTTAGGAAGAACCAATGGGACCAACACATGGGTTATCTTTACACATGGTTAAGGTCAGCGGAGAGGTTAAAACAGAACACAGAGCTTGTGCTATGGAGGCTGCTCTCCAGATCCCAGGCTCCCATAACCTCAGCATTCAGGAAGTAGAGGCCAAAGGATGACTTCCAGCACAGCCTGCCTACATAACAGTATAAGTGACATAATGAGAGACAGAGCCAGAGATCGATGGCAGGAGGAAGTGTGCAAGGCAGGGACACACCAGTGCTTCCTGGGACGATGCATCAAGCCACGTAATAGATAATTACGTCATACTTATTTCTCTGTGGTAAGAACAGTTAAAATCCACTCAGCAATTTCCAAGACTGTGTTATTAACTATGGTCAACAGGTCCAGTAATAATCTCCTAAGCTTATCCTTCTGACCCAATGAAAATAACGCATCCTTTGACCAACAACTTCTCAATCCCTTCCTCAGCATACCTATTCCAGGCACACAAAGCAGCTGAGGTATACTGAGGACTGTAGCTTGGCCACTACCACATGGCTAATGAGTGAGGGAACCGGGCTTGAAGTGTTACTCTTTTGGGGAGAGGGACAACCAGAAGCACTCTGTTACTAAACAAACTCTCTAAAATGCTGCTGTTAAGACCAAGCCAGTCAAGTTTCCCGTCACAAATGGGGAGGATCTCACAAGGCTGCATCCCTAGCTGAGCTTTGGCAGGGCTGCCGGGGTAGGGAGGGACAGTTATTTTCAGGGAACTGACCCTGCTAGGCTCTCCTTACTCCAATGTATGGGGCTACATCCGTACACATGTGGGCATGCTCCAGTGGATGGACACACGGACATATGCACAATATGAAGTGAACTCACAGGGCAATGAAAGGACATGACGTGGCAGGTGGAAGAAAGTCATCTGGGAAGAATTGAAGAGAAAATGGGAGGTAGATAAGATCAAAATGCATCATATATTTATGAAAGCCTGAAAGAAATAGTTGTTTCTGGTTTTGGGGGGTTTGAGGGTGGGTGATTGTGTTTTGTTATTTTGTTTTTGATGCAGGGTCTCTCTTCAGAGCCCTACTGTCCTGAAACTATACAGATCAGGCTGGCCTCGAACTCAAAGGATTAAGGGCATGTGCCACTATGCCCAGCTGTTTTTTTTAAAAAGAAAAGGAAATGCTGGTGGTAGCTGGGCATGGTAGTACATATACATCCGTAATCCCGTCCTTGGGAAGTGGAGGCAGAGATCAAGAACTCAAGGCCCATCCCTGGTTAGAGGCCAGCCTGGGCTACCTGAGAAACTCCCTGAAAACAAACTACTTCAGGTGTACATGGGGTTCATTCCGGCATATTAGTTTCCAACAGTTTCCTTAGGTCTGGAAAAGTCTTGGGATTCCTCACAGTAACGCAAAAGCCCTGAACCAAGACTATGAAATTAAAAGGCTAGCCATAAAAGCCTTCAATATTTGTCACATGGTCAAACCGACAGCACCGTCTTCCTAAGTGACGGGTGGCCAGTGGCAGAACGGAGGGTGTCAATTAGAGGTAACCAAGCGAAAAGTGGCTGTTTCAAAGGTATAATCTCACGGTGACATGAGCCCAAAGCAATGGACAGCAAAAGAGCAACTGCTGCACGTTAATTTACACAGCCCTCAGTGCCTCAGTTTCTCTACTCAGACAATAAAAATGACTACAATACACATCCTCAAGAGTTGCTCGAGGTTAAAGGAATGAATAAGCAGCCCATAGAGTCGGGTGTGGCGGTGTACACCTATAAATCCAGCAAGTAGGAGGCAGGGGCTGAATGCAGGACTGCTCCTAAATCTGTTCTCTACACGTTTGTGTCCCTACAAGACTACAGAGACCCTTAAAAACAACACTGGCCGTTGGAAAGGTAGCACTCGAGCTGGGACTGGATATAGCGTGCTCGAGGCGGAGACCCTAATCCTGCCTCTGAAGAGGTAAGGACATCAAGTGTTCAAGGCCAGACTCCAACATAAACTGGAGGCCAGACTTGGTTGCAAAGGGGGAGGGATGCCTGCTTAATAACTGTTTAACCAAGGGTTTAATTTTATTACTCCAGCTTACAGCTCCACTATTGCTCCTAATAATGACCCTGGACCTCACAGGCACTAAATATACCTCCAAAGTCTCACCAGCATCCAGGACATAATACAAAACTCTTTAAAACTTTCAAAGGGGACTGACTCTATAGCACTGCAGTATTTGATAGGTAAAGCTTGTTTTGCAAATGTAAGAGTCAACCGCGTTAGCAATGACCTCGGCGGCTCACCACTAGACTAAGAGCCAGATCTACAAAAATACTCAAAGTCACAGGTCACTTAGTTTTCTGAGGTGTTTGAAATTTGGGGCTTTGGTGTTTTGTTTGCGGGGGTCGACTGGGGAGTTCATGAGTTCATAAGCAGAAAACCTGGAGTCAAAATAGTTATCCTGTTTAGATGAAAACACTGCACTCTAAAGCATACTATATGAACTGAATGGCTAAGGATATTAAAATAGCCTTAAAGAAAGCCAGGCGTGGTGGCCTAGGCCTGTGATTTCCGCATTCAGGAGGCAGAGGCAGGTGGATTTCTGTGAGTTCCAGGCCAGCCTGGTCTACAAAGCGAGTTCCATTACAGCCGGAGCAGTTACGAGTGAAAACACTGTCTCGAAAACAAACAAACAAAAACTTCAGAAGAAGAAAAAAAATCCCATTCCTTCACACACACACAAGGAAGGAAGGAAGATAGGTAGTCAGTCTCCTACACAGTTCGTTCCTCCAGTTTCTGCTTTGGACATGGTCTATCTAAACAGCATCAGTTTGTTTCACAAAAAAATAAAAAACAAAAAAAAAAAATGAAATAAAAAGAGGCGGGTTACACCAACGACCCTTCCTGTTTTCCAGAAGCCTTAACTTTCGAAATTTCAGCCAAGCCTAAAAGATCTGTATCAAAAAAGGTGGAGGTGGTGTGATAGCCTCAGATCCACAGATTAGACTTGTTAATAGAATGTTGATCCCATGAGTAATGTTCACAGCTGAACAATGAAATTAACATTTCAGCAGGAAACAGAGAGCCATCCCAACAGAGGCGCCACCGACCCAACCTCCTCCTCAGCTCCCTCAACAAAATCATCTTTGGAGGCTACACTGTGTGCGTGCTTCCTAGAGTTGAACGTGTAAATCTTTTTTTATGACTAATTTGATTTTAAAATTCCGCCAAATGCTTAGTATAGGAAATGAGATCGATCAGCTAAAAACACACTTAAGTAAAAAAAAAAAAAAAAATCAATTTTCTAAGTGTCAAAATGTTTACGCGTCCTGGTGTGAGGGCGTTTTTTTAAATGCCTTGTTTCCTTCTCCCAGGAAAGACGCTCTGCACCTGAAAGACGTCCTAGGAGACTTCACCACCTAGACCACAATAATCTTAAAAAATGAACAACTCATTACAACCCCTGAGTAACTGCTTCCAACACTGATTCCACCAGACCGTCGGCTTCCTAAAACCCCGTCTCGGGGCTGCTCGGTCGAGCCAGCCTGTTCTTTGAGACCAAAAGCCAGCGGGCTAGCGCAGCTTCGGCGCCTCTTTCCTAGAGGTAGTCTGCGCGACTGACACCGAGCGTCTCGGTCTTCTCCCGATAATGGCGTTTGTAATTCAGCCTCCCCGCTCGGACTACCCGATCCCTAAAAAAGGAAGACTCGCAGCCCGGTGCCTGGAAATCAGGGGAGGCTGGCGGCACACAACAGCCAGGCAGACGCGGGAAAGGGACGAGGGCAGAGAAAGCCAAGCGCTCCCCAGGGGTACGCTGCCCTGGAGGAGCGCCCGCCCGCCCGCCGCCCCGCGAGCCCCGGCCACCGCCACCGGGCGATCGGTCCCTGCTCCGCTGCCTCCCAGACGCCACACGCCCCCCGCGCGGCTCCCAGGGGCAGAGGCATCCTCGCGGCTGGCGCGCGCGGCCCGGCCAGATGGCCCCGGTGCACGGGTGCCCACCGCCGCCACCACAGCAGCGCCCCCACCCAAACTGCGCCGCCCCCTCCCCCCACGCCCCATTGTTCCCGGGAGGCCGCGGGCTGCGAGCGCAGGGGATTGGGAAGGCTGGGGTGCCCCGACTCACCCGCGAACCCGCACAGGAGCACGAGGCACAGGAGGAGCGCCATGGTAGCTGCGTTGCAGGTAAACGCTCTTAGCGGAGGGGGACCTCGGTTTTCCAGAGCCTGGTACGCTCCCGACTGGCTCCCGGCGGTGGCAGCAGCAGCGAAGGCACCTCTGCGCCCCGCCCCAGCTCGGCAGGTGAACGCGTCACTTCCGGAAAAAGTCCGGAGCCCCTAGGCAAGCGCCCAGGGTTGGCGCCCTGGGGTTGCCATGGAAACCGGGCGCAGCGCGCATTTGTCGGTCCCCCGCTTCCCCCCACCCCCACCCCCGACTAGGGAGCCTTCCAGCTCCAGCAGTCTTGCGCCCTACACCTGCTGGCACTGGGAGCCACCTCCGGCGGCTGCGGCAATCCTTCTTCCCGTGGTTAAATCGCTGCTTTGTGAACTGGGAACCAGCCTGCCAGCCTCACCACTGAACCTGCAGTCACGCCCTCCACCGGGCATGGCTCCAGGCCGGAATTGCTTTCTCTCCCTAGACCCCAGCAAGGTTCCTACACACCACCGGCCAGCAGCCGCCGCACCCCACGGTCAGGGGTGGGGGCCTCCTGCTGTCCGTGTGTCCTTGGGCGATCCGACAGCGAATTTGCTGCCTTCTTTTTGATGGCTAGGTTCCTGTAAAACACTCCTTAGAGGCTTTTCTTCAGCTCCTGTATACACTAGACCCGTAAAATTCTACTACAGATTTAACAAATACTTGGGGCTTTTCTCCTGCTGGAGTTTATGAGTCATCCTAGCCCTAAAATTAGCCCACAAGGACAAGAGAATTTTAAAAGTGGGGCTGGCTAGGCATAGCTAAATGAACGGGAGTGGCTCCGGGAAATTAGGAATTTGAAGAGCCTCTGCAATCCTGCCTTGAGCTCTCCTGGGCTGTTGTCCTCAGACTTGTCCTTGCTGCTTATTCTTGATTGCTCTCTCTTCCCAGATAAGGTTTCTTAACTGTGGAGATGTTGAAATTCACAGAAGCTCCGTATCCGGAGATAGAAAACAGAAGCAACCAGCTCAATGCAACCAGCTCAATGGCCAGGAGCTGGGGGGTTTGGGTGGGCGAGTTATTTAGAATTGAAAGTGAAATAATGCACGGGGGAAAGAAATATTTGGCATCCCCCGCCCCGGCAGAGCACATAAGAAGTGCTCAGCAGTAACAGCTAATAGAGGAATATTAAGAATGGTTTGTTGACCCAGAAAGGAGAGAAGGCAGGTGTGGCAGTTTGAAGAAGAGTAGTCCTGAAAGGCTAGTCTATATAAGTGATCAGTCAGCAGGGAGTGGCGCTACTCGAAAGGATTAGAAGGACTGGAAGCTGCAGCCTTTTGCAGTAGGTATAGCCTTTTTGGAGGAAGTGTATCCCTGGGCATGGGCTTTGAGGTTTCAAAAAGCCCTTAAGACCCTGTCTCTTTCTCTCTTGTCTCCCTCTCGCTCCTCTTCCTCTCCCTGCAGATCAGGATGTAATCAAGATATCGCTCTCAGCTACTTCTGCATCACACCGGCCCATCTGCATGCTTCCTGCTGGATGGACTAAAGCTGTAGGCAAATCTCCAGGTAAATGGTTTATATTTGCAAGAGATGCCTTGGTCATGGTGTCTCTCCACAGCAACAAAAAAAATGACTAAGATAGAAGAATAACCAGACTTAAGGCTAAGCAGGCTCCTACAGGGGAGAAAAAAAAGTGTAGTTCACAAGGAGATGCGCTACCCTACTAAAAAGCTTAGAGTTTGCTAATTCATTCAAGTGGAAGTCTGGGGAATGTGTGTGGGATATTGATCTTGACTGTGTGAGATAAAGGCAGAAGGAACATAAAACTGGATCAGGCCAAGTTCACTGAAGAACCCACTGAATGGGGATTCTCAGTTGCACAGTTAATAAGGGTGTCAAAAGTCTGAATGGTTGACTGAAGCATTTGAGGAGTTGGAGATGCCTAATATCTGTTGGCTTAGTGTTGATGAAGGGATTTTAAGGCTCAGGGAAATTGCAATGCTAGAGTGGGTAACTGTGTAAAACCTTGTTGTCCACAATGAGAAGGTCAAGAAAAGACATGCTCTTTGATAATCCCATATGACGCAAATTTGTGTGAGGGACACCAGCACATTTGAAGGCCTTTGTTGTCGCCCTTTTTCTTGTGCCAGACCTTAGGGTTTAGACACATGGCTACTCAGTTGGTTGAATTAAATGCATTGGGTTTATTTGGGCTCTGAGGTAGCAGGGGCCAGGAGGCAGCACTGATTTTCCAAAAGCAAAATGATTGTTGTAGTTGAGCAGCATAAACAGAGCAACATTCATAATGGCCTGATCCATAATGGTCAGTGATTGATTAAATAAAACAGAATAAGCTAATGGGGAGATGAAGCTATATTATATAAATGCAGGTTTATTGGGAGCAGTGAGGGAACGTGAGGGGAGCACACGTGGGAGGAGGGCAGGAAGAGGGTAAAGAAGGAGAAAGGGCAGAAAAGGGGCACCAAGATGTCTGGATTATATAGTGAAGGGCCTCTGAGAGAGAAGCCCCGCTTCTAGGTAGAGGGCAGGGTATGGCAGCCATGCCCTGCAGCATGTAGGGACTTTAACAGTCAGGACAGGTAAAGTGAATTTTATGGTGCCATGACTGATAAGGTGCTTTTGGACTGGCTAATCAATCCTAGTTTTTCCAGGCATGAAAATTTTGGATCATGGCAAAAGGAATCTCAGCCAGTGAACCAATTTCCAGACTTGAGCCAGTTTGCAGATCCAGAAAGTCAAGCATGAAGGTATAGCCAACTCTCCCTGAGGAAGGACCTTGATAAAATACTAAAGAGTTTTGTGTTCTGTAATCCTTCTCCAGACGGACCTATGGCCTTTTAGAAGGATAACTGTACATTGAGAGAAGGGAAAACAATAAGGCTTTCTGGGGTCTGTCGGATACTGGTTCTGAAACGATGCCAATTCCAAGAGACCCCCTATAAACCTTGTAGCCCTCCAGTTAAAGCAGGGGCTCAAGCAGGTCCGGTGATGTCTTAGGGTTTCCATTGCTGTGAAGAGACACCATGACCAAGGCAACTCTCACAAAAGACAGATTTAATTGGGGCTGGTTTACAGTTTCAGAGGTTTAGTCCATTTTCACCATGGCAGGAAGCATGGTAGTATGCAGGCAGATGTGGAGCTGAAGGAACCAAGAATTCCTGATCCAAAAGTGGAGTTCTCATTCCACACTGGGCGGAGCATGAGCATAAGAAACCTCAAAGCCCACCCCCACAGTGATACACCTCCTCCAACAACAGTGCCACTCCCTGTGGGCCAAGCATTCGAATGTATGAGTCTATGGGGACCATTCCTATTCAAACTACTACGGGCAATTAATGGAGTTTTGGGAGAAGTCCGGTGGGTCATCCTGTGGTTATTTCCACAGTCCCAGATTATACAATTGGAATAAATATACCTAGAAGTCAGAATTCTCACAATGGTTTCCTGACGAGTGGAGCGGAGCAAGGGCTGTTATGGTTGGAAAGGCTAAATGGAAGCCTTTAGAGATGCCTCTGTTGAACTGCAAATATTAGTGCCACCGTCAAGGACTTGCAAGATGCAGGGGTAATGGTTCCCACCACATCTCCTTTTCACACTCCTATCTGGCCAGTGCAGAGACAGTGGGTTGGCTGGGTGTCAGGGACTTGGAAAGAATGTGACTGGAAAATTGGTAAGAAAAGTATCTGGGGAAGGAGTATGTGCATAAATCTCTACAAATAGGCAAAAGATGTGGAGCTACTTGTGCTCCCTGTAAATGATCAGAAGGTGACTTCAGGTGAAAGGGAGTTCAGTCATCAAGCAGGTAGAACGACCTATTCTGTAGACTGCCTCTTTCTTCCTGCCATTGCCCAGTCGGCCCGTGAACAATGTCATGGTGGCAGAGAGAGGGGTTATACATGGGCTCAACAACATGAACGTCCACTCATCAAAGTTGACTTGGCTGTAGTTGCTGCAGAGCACCAGATCTGCTAACGGCAGAGACCAACACTGAACCCCAGATATGGCACCATTCCCTGGGATGACCAGCCAGTGACCTGGTGGTAGCATTTCTGTGCTGGTGGTTCTGGGTTCTACAAGAAAGATGAAGGAAGGGGCTACAATTGAGACATAAAATAAATAAATTGTAAATAATAATAAAGAATTTTTTTTTAAAGCAATCTGGGCAAGCCCTGGGAGCAAGTCAGTAAGCAGCACTCCTCCATGGCCTCTTTGTCAGCTCCTGCCTTCAGGTTCCTCCTGTTTGAGTTTCTGTCCTGACTTCCTTCAATGATTTGGAAGCGGCCTAGGTTAGATTGTATGGAGGCTAGACACTTCCAGGGCTGGGCCTAGGTTAGCAGGAGGAGGCAGTAAGCCTCTGAGACAATTGAAAGAGGTGAATAAACCTTTTCCTCCTCCCCACATTACTTTGCTCGTGCTGTTTTCTTGCAGCCACAGTAACCCAGACTATGACAGTGACCTGGGTAAGCCTCTGTCCATGCATCTGCAAAAAGTGCTGTACTTCTTCCCCACGACCCTGAACCGAGGAAGCCAAGCTGAACTTTGTGGTTGGGTTTGGCATACCGCAGCCCTGAACCTCTGCCCTCAGTAGTTCTCACTGACCTCTTGGATGCTTTTACCCTTTTGTAATCATTATCTAATGGTGGTGGTGTGTGTGTGGAGCAATGAATGCTCTGATGGTAATGTTAGTAATTAACAGGATTAAAATAACCTGTGATTGTTAACTAGCAAGAGAATTCAGTACTAAATTGCAGCCAAAAATCTGATGTAATTTATTAACTTATTCAACAAATTATGACATTGTAGAAGATACAAATGTGTCCATTTTTGTTCCAGGTGTGGTGTATTGGTAGGGGAGTGGGGGGCGGAGTTCTGAACAGAAGACTAACAACTGAAAATAGCTTCAGGAATTCTCTGAAACTGACCAGATTCACTAGAGCACCACACACACACACACACACACACACACACACACACACACACACACACACACACTAACTCACCCAGAGTAAACAATAAAAGCTGAGAGTTCTCAAACAGAAGCTGAGTTGCAAAGAGCTCTCTCAGATGAGCCAAACTGCCAAGACTCAGCCAAGCTTAGTCCCCCCCAACCCCAACCCACCCT